TTTTATTTCTATTAATTAAATTAAAATATATAATTATTACAAAATAAATTAATTATTATAATGAAATAAAATCAAAATAATTCTAATAAAAAAAATAATAAAAGGTTTGGGTGTTACATAATAAGCCAAGTGAAGTGAGCATGCACGAACTCTTGTGTTAAATATATATATATATATATATATATATATATAAAGTTGGAATAAAAACAAACAGAGACACAAACATTGCTCCTAGTTATTATTGGCCAAAATTTCACTGTTAATTTAGATTTTTTACACGGACTTAGCCGCTAATCTTTTTGTTTTATATATCTTAAATGTGATGTGAGATATTTATTTATTTACTTATCATTTTTTGTTGTATGTGTGTGTGTATGCGTGTGTGTGTGTGTGTATATATATATATATATATAAGTTTTGAGATTCTTTTTCGTGACTTTCCAACAATAAGCATTAGAATAGAATAGAATACATTTAACATATCCCAAATCCTCGTCAAGGAAATGACAAAGCTCGTGAAAATGGCATGATTGGTAATTATGATGATGATTTGGGTTAATTTAGGAAAATGGGCATTTTTTAATGTGTATTTAGAGATAATTTTATGATTAATTTAACGTCGGTGATGAATGAGTGAGACAAAATATTCATTTCCTTGTATACACGCTTTTGATTAAAACTTAATCCTTGGTTTTGGCTTTTCCTTAATAGAACCTAATCAAATTAATATTTATTTAGATTTTTTTAATTATTCTATATTTAAATAATTATCACGTTATACATATTTTATTATTATTTAATGTTTATTAAAAAAATTTGCCTTTTTTGTATAACTGAGATTCTTTTTTTTTTTGGTTAAAAAAAAAAAAAGAAACTTTGGATATCCTTTAAATAAGAAAAAAAAAACATTGATATATTTTGCGAATTCTCTAAATTCACAAAAAGTTCACAATATTTATTGATTTTAATGAGATTTTATAATTGATTCGTGGATATTGTGTGTATATATATATATATATATATATAATTACGTGCATGTGTATAGCATGCGTATACCCAAATATCTCCGGGCAAAGTTGCTACTAATTGTAAATATTTGAAATTAAAATGAAATTTTAATGATGGAATAATTGATTAATGAAAGTTTTATTAAAATCCTAGATCCTTCCCATTAATAGACAAACTTAAT